CGTTGCAGATAGGACGGCAGCAGCAGCAACATCTCCATGCTTTCCTCTACTTCTGGGGGTAATTCCTTTACCTTCTGCTGCTGTTGCAGTAGCAACAACAGCTGCTGCTGCTGCTGCAACGATCCCCGCACGAACTGCCCCAAAAGAATGCTGTTACTATTGCTGTTCGGCTGCTGCTCCAGCAGCCAACTGCGCTCCGACATCCACAGAACGTCTGTGCTGCTGCTGCTGAACAGGGAGGTCCCTGGAGGAACGCCAGTGTTGCTCTGCAGCAGATGAATCGGCAGGTGCTGCTGCTGCAACCACCTCCACCGCGGCGTTGCTGCTGTTGTTGTTGCTGTTGCAGTTGTGCTTCCAGCCACAGAGAGGCAGCTCACGGTGGGTAGCAGCATAGGCAGCACCGATCCGACGATTGACAAACAATCTGCAGCAGAAAACCAAACCCCGAACCCTAAGCCCTAAGTCCCAAGCCCTAAGCCCTAAACCCTAAAGACTAAAGACTCAAGAAGAGGAACTAGGCTTAAGGAATCGCTCAAGAAGCGCCAGTTCTGCTTAGCGTTTAGGGTTTAGGGNCAAGAAGAGGAACTAGGCTTAAGGAATCGCTCAAGAAGCGCCAGTTCTGCTTAGCGTTTAGGGTTTAGGGTTTGATACCTGGAGGCAGCTGAAGGGAAAGTTGGGCATCAAGAGGATATGACAAGAAGAAAAACTCCGCATGCATGCTGTCAACCCAGTTGCTGCAGCCTCCCTCCAGCAGCAGCTGCCGCTGCCGCCTTCTGTTTGCTGCTGCTGCTGTTGCGGCTCGGATTCTACTCTTGCTGCTGCTGCTACTGCTGCTGCTGCTCTCCGCTGCAGTAGCAGTTGCAGCTACTCGCGCTGCACCCGTAGTTCCATCTGCCGCTGCTGCTTCAGCGTCAGCTGCTGCCGTTCTGCTGGCCCTGCTGCTGATGCTGCTGCTGCTGTTCCATATGGAAGCCTGGTCGAGGCTCCGAGTCTTAAAGACATAAGGAGACGGCTCTGTCTTAGCAAAGGACGGGCGATTTGCTGCTGCTGCTGCCGCCGCTGCAGCGGCTGCTGCTATTGCCGCTGCTGGGCACTCCTCCGGGTAAAGATAATCCAACAAATACCGCGTGCTATTGATGTTCAAACCATTGCCGCTGCTACTACTACTGCTGCCACTGCTGCTGCTGCTGCTACTAGTGCTGCTGCTGCTGCTGCTGCTGCTGCT